CCAGTCGGACCTGTCCGATACTGACCGCCCGCTCTCAAGCCAAGCATCTGTCGGAGGAAGCGACCTCGTCAAGTACGTACCGCTCCTTCAGCATCCTCCGTGCAGGCGTCTGCATTCATGTCAGTCAGACCGGTGACATCGAAGAGCATTCATAAGCAAAGCAAGCTGCAGGACCCGAAGGGCCCTGTCTGGGTCAGTCGGGGGAAGGCATGTGAAGGACCTGAAGGACAGAGCCCAAGGCCTCTCAAGAGCTTGGCAACGCCGAAGATCTGCGTCGCCCTTGTTCCCCAGGGCCGTCCAAACGAAGCTGTTCGCCTGAGCAGTGCACCACGGCCCGTGTCTCCCCGGCTACACCCGCATGCGGTCGAACGAGCCCGCGGCATCCAAGTTCACGTCGTGCTCTTGGCCGCTTTGCTCCTGCGGTCGTAGGATCCTTAGCTGAAGGGCGCAAGAAACTTTCCGAGAGTTTAGCGGGTTATTCCTTCGCTCTTCCTCTTGAGGCAAACCGGTGGCAGCCAAGACTCAAGCGCTCGTCCTGCAACTGAACCCGGACGGCGCCTCTGAAGTAGATGCAGCTGCGGGCGACCGCCGCGGCCAGGAGGCTCTTCCTCTTCAGCTCCTCCGAAGCAGCACGGAAGCTACAGCGACGCTTTAAACCACACCGTGCGAAGGAACTCCTGCCTTGTCCCGCTCCGGCTCGGTCTTCTCGGACTCCGCCACCGGCCAAACCCAGACTGTGTCGCCGCCCTCTTTCTGGGCGACGTGGCTGACGAAGTGCCGGCTGGGCGCCAAGGCCAGGTGCTGCTTGAACATCATGTACGCCAGGAAGCTCGGGATCAGCAGCCCGTAGCACACGACGCAGGTCGAGGCGATGCTATCTGCCTCAGTGCAAGAAAGCTCCGGTCTCTGCAGGCCCCTGCAAGTAGCAACAAATATGCCCACACAAACTTGGCATACTGCAACGGCGCCCGCAATGGGGGTGTGCAGGGAGACACATTTCACAGTGCAGGCATGAAGCCTGGAATGTGCGAAACCCAGGGAAAAACAGGTTTCATCTGTGAATGTGTGGTTGACACAGGCCGACAGCACCGAAGGTGCTGCAATTTGTTCTAAAGCACCCTATGCTTTGTTTTTTTCGCGGAGGGCTTTCTTACCTGTTCAACATGGTTGAAGGTCATGAAAAGGAGGAAAAGTATGTCAGGGCCACGAAATTTGAGGGTGTGAGCTTTCAGGGCAGTCAGCTTTTCGGGACTCTTTTTGGCGGCCATGAACCGCGAGTGTGTGCATTCGTTTTTGTTTTTATGGGCGGCCCTGACGTTCGAGTGGTTACACGTGGAAGATGCTCGAAGTATCTTCTCTGCACAAATGCCCTTTTTCTGAACCTCAGTTCTCGAACTTGTTAAACCTCAATCCTGAACACCTCACCCTGTCGAGTCCTAGCCCAAACCCTGAAGCCCTCGTCTATCCCGAAGCCTGCCATGGTCCTAAATCCTAAAAGCATTGTCGCGAACTGCAACATCCTTAAACCCAGACGAAAGAACGGACTGAAGACACCCAGCATACTCTGCATGTTTGGCAACTTCGTTTGACTGAATGCGGTGGTATTGCTACTTGCCACCGAGCGACAAGCGGAGCGGCATCCTGGCACTTGATGTCCGGTAGTGCCGTCCGGAATGCGTGCGCGTCGGGCAGGCGCTCTTTTCCTGCGTTTCTGGCGAAAGGAGTCGAAGATGAGCGACACTGGACACGAGCACGACGAGCACAGAGCGTGCAGCGAGAGTCCAAGCGCCTCGGCTGGCATCGCATGAGCGCTGCGCTGCTCGAGGCGCCCCCGATGTAGAGCAAGGTCAGCAGCTTCAGCACAAAGCTGACACCTGAAAACTGAAGCGGCGCTCGCATCTCGCGGAACTGGGCAACTCGCTCTGAGGACGTTGCCGCTTCCATGCGAGGCCAACTCCGGAAGAATGCAGAGCACCAGCAGCGCCAGGGGCACACAGGGCCCAACCAAAGCCGTGACATCGTTCGCTGTCCTGTCTGCGTCGACACAGACGGCTCCGAATTCCGAACCTCGAGGTTCAAGAAAGGTCCTTCCGAACCAGCACTCGAGGCTCGTCGCATCGCGAAGACCCTGCGCAGTGAGCTGGAGCCACTGGACGCACTCCTGAGCCCGAGCAAAAACAAACATGCCATGCAGTCGCTGCTGACTTATGCCTCATTGCCTTATATGGTCTCTCCAGATGAAATGCAACACCGGCCCTCCTCCGCCCACAAGCCGTCAGCCCGTGCCGGTTCGTCGCCGGTCTTTCCCTGCTGGGATTCCACGAGGGCCACCAACAGCCCCCAGAGCTGGAACAGCTGGAGCAGCACGGGGCCCTGCGCGGCCAACAGGGGCTGCATCACCTCGAAAAGCGCCCTAAAGGGCACTAAACGGCTCTCTGTTTCGGGAGAATCATTACACAACACGATACAGCTCGAGAACATCAAAGGATCATCAACGTTTCCATATACCCGTCTGCTTGGCTGGTGACGCTCCACAGGGTCGGCTCGAGCCGGGCTGTCGCGGGCTGGCTGCGGCTCCTTCAGCGGCAACTATGGCTCGTGCTCGCTCTCCATCTCTCTCGTTCGCTCCCTCGAGACTACAAGATATGAGCCCGTGCTGCTCCTCTCCCTCTCTCTCTCTGTCTCTCCGTTTCTTTCTATCGCCAGGGCTAGGCAAGGGGAAGCTCCCCTTGCCCGCTCACTCTCGCTCTCGCTCTCTCCCTCTTCTTCCCCAGCGCATGAGGGGTCTGTCAAACCCCCCGGCCAAAAGGCCCCCACTTTTGTGAGGCTTTCGGGAGGATGTGAGAAGCTCTCTCTCTCTCTCTCTCTCTTCCGGGCGTAGGGGCGGGTCAAAGCCCCCGCGCAAAATGCCCACCCGAACGTTCTCTCTCTCTCTCTCTCTCTCTCTCTCTCTCTCGCTCTCCCTGTGTGTGATCATGCTGTTGCATGCTCCCCACTGCGAGTGCATGACTGAACACTCCGCGGAGCTCCAGCCTTCGCCACAGGAAGATGACGGCAGCGAGCACTCCGGCAAAAACCGCGGCCCCGACGACCCAACGCAAGTACAGCCTGGCCACTGATTTTGAGAAAGCATATTAAGAAGCACTTAACCAGGACTGTCGGTTCAGAACAGCTCTCGTCCGGGAGGCCAGCGCTTGTGGGCATCGGAGGCCACTCCGCAGGGAACGCAGACGCCGGCACGGCTGCTGTAGCCCCAGGAGCATGCCACGCAGAGCGGGCCCTCGTGGCCTCGGAGGTTAATACACAGTGTATCCATGCAGTCCCTCTTTTTTCTGGAGGGCTCGGAAGTTTCTAGGTTTCGCCCGGTGGCCGGCGGTGCAGCCCTGCGCCGTGCCGGGCTCAGCTGCCTTCGCTGACGAAGCGTTGCAGCGCTGCTCCGCCGTAGGCTCCAAGCACCTGACGAAACACGGGTCGAGAAGCTGGGAGAGTCTCACAGGCGAAGCTGTTTAAAGCCTTTGGCCTGTAAGCACGCTGAGCTCCGGCTTCCAGGCGAGCATAGCCGACCTTCGAAAAACTCGACTCTTGCACGCAATCCGCACAGATCGCAACGCAGATCAGTATACCAGGCCTGCGGTGGCGCGGAGCTTGCATCGAGGCCGTGTCGCCCGCAGTCCTCTCGAGACGTAAGGGCTCGGTGGGGCTCCGAGTGTGAAAGCACAGGTGTGTTGCACATGCGTGCACCGGTGGAGGAAGCAGGGATTTGCAGGAACCCTTCTCTTGTGAGTGTCGTGTATCTAGTTTCGTTTACAAGGTCGCTTGAACGCACGGGTCGGAATACCCTGCTGGCATCGCCAAGACTGGCTCCTACAGAACCCATGCAAGTCATTTTAGCTCACCAAGCCAAACCCTTTGGCCTCAAGACTTTGCTTCAAGGGCTTAGAATCGGATAAAGACAGATCGATAGATCCGCTTATATCTTACAGAATGGGAAAATGTTAAATCTTGTCGAGAATTCTTGGTGCATGCTGTGTCGCACATGACGTTCCGTTAGACAGTGTTTCCATTGCGAGTTACGTAGTTGGGTTTCTGTTTCACGGGGTTGTGTCTTATGGGATAATTACTTTCCTTTTTCTCCGACAAAGCTTTCTGCAAAGAGACTAAACTAGACGATGTCGACTTGCGAGGAGTGCAGGCACTGGTGAAGACCCGATAGCCCCGCGGTCCAAGCGCAGCTTTCCGCAGTCTTCACAAACGTCACCCGCAGCCGGACTTGCAGGCTGGGCATCCTCTGACCTTGCAGGCGTCTCGGTTCTTCCAGGGTTCGGGGTTGGGGCGCCGCGGGCGCTGATGCAGTTGAAGCTAGAGATTCACTGCAACAGTTTACAACATGCCCCCTTCTTTTTTCTGGCCAAGAATCTGGTAGAGCGCCCTCGATGCATCGCACTTGCAGGCGTGTCCAGACTCCGATCCGTACATCCTGCGGCAAGGGAAAACTGGTCGAGAAGAACGAGGGCCCGTCACCAAGAAACTACAGCTTATAGAAGGCAGGTTCATGGCAGTGTTTCATGATGTCGCATGGTCGCAACGCTCAAAAGCAAGAGCTTCCTGCCGACCGTGCAGAGGCAGCTGAAGACGGAGCTGGCCCCTGGATTCGCCGCGCTGTTGCTGGGGCACGGCACGCAACTGCTGTTGAAGTGCTCGTTGTAGGTGTTCGGCTTGCACTTGTGGCACAAAGTGCCATTCCCTTGAAAGCCCAAGGTGCAGGCACACAGCCCTTCTGGCCAAAAGGAGGATGGAGACACCCGCAGGGACGTGGAGGTGATGCCGTAACATTCGAAGCCTTGCAGGCGATCGCCTTGGGTCAGCTGCTTGGTTCTGTGAAGGAATCCTTCATGAAACAGTGTGGCGACATCGTCCGTGTTGGAGACCTTGGAGGCCGTGAGGTCCACTTGCACGTTGCGGTCCAAAGCTTCCTGCAAAGACTCCATGTTCACGTATGTCTCCGAGTTGTTCGCCAAGGAGACGTAGACGTTGGCGGGATGCCTTCGATGCGATGGATCTTGTTGTCCGCCAACTCCAAGCCTTGCAAGGAGCTGAGCAAGGGTATCGTGCATTTTACACCATAGGTCTCGCCGTCCACGGATACCTCGCGCAAGCAGCTCGTCCGTAGATGCCCGGAGAGATTCGCCCCAGTTGCGCGGACAGAGGCCAAGTGTCCCGCGAAGGACAGAGGCTCCAGCAGGTTCTCTACTGCGCCGTCCAGCGGACACAGCGACACCTTGGATGCAAGACACGTCAGGAGACGTTCTCTTTAAGACACCTTCAGCTCTCAGTCGTCTGACAGCATCTGCTCGGAGCTTGGCAGGAAGCGCAACCACGGGGCGTCCAAGGTCACCAGGGCCGGAAGCAGCTGCTGGGTCTTCTCGGTGAAGAATGTCGCCCGGAGGTCTTCCAGGTCACTTCCGACGGGCAGGAAGTTCACTTGGCTGTCCTGGGCTTCGTCGGGACAAGCCGAAGCAGAAAACCGGGTGCACAGGCCTTGCTCTGAGGGCCGGTCCTTGAGGTCGAGCGTGTGGAGCTGCAGGAGTTGGCCCCGCCAGGCGGGCGTCAGGCGCCCAGACACGCGCGTGCCGCTCAGATCGGCCTCCGACATGCGAAAAAATGCGAAATGTGGGGCCAGGGATAAGCTGACAGTGCTACAGGGGCCTGCATTAGGTTTGTCAAGTGCATGAGCACGCCGAGATCCCCCTGCACGACGGTGTTCTTGAGCGAGAGCTGCTTCAACTTCGTCAGCTTGGAGAGTGCCTGCAGATCACCGGCCACCTTGGTACCTTCCAGCGACAACTTCCACAGCTCGGTCATCTCTGCCAAGGCCTGCAGGCCTCCAGTCACACCGGTGTTCTGGAGCAAGAGCTCCTCCAACTTCGTCAGCTTGAAGAGCGGTTGTGGGTCACCGGCCACCTGTGTACCATGCAGCCACAACTGCCGCAGCTCGGTCATGTCGCCCAAGGCCTGCAGGCCTCCACTCACACGGGTGTCATCGAGCAAGAGCTCCTCCAACTTCGTCAGCTTGAAGAGCGGTTGCAGGTCACCGGCCACTCTTGTCCCATCCAGCCATAACATCTGCAGCTCGCTCATGTCGCCCAAGGGCTCCAGTCCTCCATTGACTCCGGTGTTCCTGAGGAAGAGCTCCTTCAACATCGTCAGATTGAAGAGCGGTTGTAGGTCACCGGCCACTTTTGTACCATCCAGCCACAACTTTTGCAGCTCTGTCATCTCCGCCAAGGCCTGCAGGCTTCCAGTGACGCCCGTGTCTGAGAGGTAGAGATACCGTAGGGCGGTCAGATTGCTGAGTGCGTCCAATCTGCCGCTGATGGGTCTCCTGTCTAGATCCAGCTTCCACACACAACCGTGAAAATCGGAGTAGACTCCTCGCCAGGTATGGGGCTCTCCCTTGAGCTCTTCAGCCGTAACTCCGAGAGACAGGAAGATGCTGCGGAGCGCCTCCGGGGACGGACCTTGCCGGGGGCCGTGCAACAGGGAGGGGAGCAACGGCCAAGCACGGAGTCCTTTAGAGTCCAATGGCGGCCCCAACAAATTCGTCAACCGAGCATCAATCTCTGGATCCTTTCTGTCTTCGGCCCGCTTGCTGCTTGTGGCTGTCCTCCCGTGTTTCTTGACATGAACCCAAAACTATAGGCCAGGTTCACGAGGCTCTTGCTGCATACGGAACTCTAAAGCCCTCTGCATCCGAAGGGGGGGAGACCCTATGGGCCTCGAGCGCTAGCGATCGGACAGCGCCATCATTCCGGAGGGCCTCGGCTCGAGGCCCAAACTGAGCTCTTTTTCCGGAACCTCATTTCAGCTACCATGATATTTTCGGGATATAAAAGCTAGAAGTCCTCCGTCTATATGCTGTCAGCCCCAAGTCTAAGAAACGGGGAGAGACGAGACGCCGCACCGGAGTTCAGGAGCACAGCCAGCGCAAGCCATGGGGCAAGCAGCCGCATGGAACCAACGGGCTCTTCCCACTTCAACCACACACTTACGCACCCACCAGGTACATCCTACACCTCATGCATCAAACTGTGAGAACCCCAAATCTCTGGAGCATGAACCGGTCGCGTGAAGTGTCTCTGGGCCGATGCGTCTTTCCTGGAAGCTCCCACTTTGGGAACCTCCTCGAGGCCACAGCGCCGTTTCAACCATGCAAGCACAAAGAAAAACAAGCCAACTCTGGCTTTCCCAGCTACTGCACAACCTTGACAAAGCTTGTGCCTCCCCTTTTTTGTTACGTGAATGCAGCATCACCGCCTTCACACATCTTCGGCTGTTCAGGTTCGTCGTCTCCTGCGAGACAGTCCAGTGCAACTGTTTTTGGCATGGTGTGGTGTTCATTAACTATGGTGTGGTCTGGCTTTATGCGGTTGTGCCACCTAAACGAGCAAACACAGGTTCACAACTGCACAGCAAAACATCTCTGGTGCTGTCCGCCTTATCAGCTCATGACACGTTGGCCTGGCGACAGAAGTTTAGAAGCATGAAGGCGCCACATCGCATCACCTGTTCACAGTCCAGGTTCTGCAAGGACGGGTTGTGAAGAGAAGACTCGAGCTGAGAGGAAGCCACGGAAGCCGGCTGCACCCGGCAAGCAGAGCCACATGTCCGATCTGCTCGTACCGAAACTTTCACGGCCCGCAGCCGAACTAAAATTGAACTCTCGGCGCGAGCATGTCTTGGATGAGGGCTATGCAATCGGGTCCAACCCCCATCTTCTGCAACCTCACCGAGACCTTGTCTGACCGTTAATTATGGTAAGGATCTTGGCTTCTTGCCTCCCAACGAGCTAAAGGATTCTGGGTTTCGGACACTCGCCGACTTCCGTCCCTCCCCTCCCCTCGCTTTTTTGCTGCGCTGGTCATCGCTGGGCAGCGTCGAAGCAACCGGATTCCTGCATCGTGCTTGTTGACAGATGCCGTCGACGAAACTGTGGTAAGAGCTGAAGAGATCTAGGACTCTAACCCCTATACACCATACAGTGCCATACAGACCCTAAACCTGTGGTGGCCATGAACACCTGCAGCCAATTCACGAGGATAAGCCTAAAATCACCCTTCAACCGTTTGGGGGAACTCTTTGGCTATGGGAAGGCGCTCGAAAGGTTGGCTGCGAAGTGCAGCCTTGGATCAGTCTGTGCCAACACAGCGCAACCTACCCCTCAAGTAACGAGTATTTGCTTTTAAGCATATTGACTGAGATTGCTGTCTAAGACCTATATATTCCTTCATTCAAGGCTACTGAGATCTCTGGGCATATCCCTCGACCGTGCCTGCTGCCATCATGCACGCCGACATCGGCCCAACGGCCAGCGCGCACGCCCGGAGAGAGGCTTCCTACATCGGGAGGCTCTGATCTTAGATTCCGTCTGACTCTGATACCCTTTTACTGGAGGGACCAAGGTCTAGCATCCCCAGAGTACCCGCCCAAACTACACAGTCGACGATAATCCTAAGGAGCCCTGTAATATGCACTCACCAGAGCCCCGAAACGAACCTCGCGCAATGAGCCAACCGGCAGTTTGCGTCACGGAGTGAACCCCGAGTGTCCAAGTACTTCCCCCTGTCATACACTCCAATACGCAAAGTCTGACCTACAGTTCGCACCATCCAACATCCGACTACCTACAAATGGGTTGGGGCCTCAATCGGGCAGACTTGAGGGCTTGTAGAGTTGTGTTTGGCCCTGATTACACTCACAGGGACTCCTAAGCCTGCAACCCTGAAGACCTTGTTCCGTAGAGCCCTACACCCTAACATCCCAATGTGCTAATTACAGCACAAATACTTTCCGAACCCTAACTACCCCCTATATACCCTAAACTCCTTGCCCTCCTTCTTTTTGGGGCGGGGCTGCAGCGCGCATATCCGAAAACCCTTGGCGCTAAACACTAAATTCACTAAAACCTAAAACCCTAAACGCCCAGTCTACACCGAGCTCCCCACCAGCGAAGCCCGACTTGGGGCCTCGCTTCCCCACTCCTTGGGTCATGAGGCCGGGCTCCCGAGACCCATAAACCCAAGAGTAGTGTACATAGAGTCAAAGATACGTATTTTATGTATAGGCATATATAAACAAATAAATAAATAAATATATATATATATACACACGCATATGTATATATATATGTAATTATTTATTGCTGTAGCTAATATGTAAATATATTTTATATGTACAGTTACATATATATATATATATCGATAGAGAGAGAGAGAGAGAGAGAGAGAGAGAAAGAGAGACAAGTTTAGAAGGGTCCTACCAAGGGTCGTATAGGGCGTTCATCAAGGGTGCTGATACGGGGGCTCTATAAAGTACAAAGTTTATACATGAAGAGCGTGACCTGAGAGGGGCCGGGCTCTCGGGGATGGGAACTCTAAACCTGAAGCCCTAAAACCTACACCAATATTTTAAACCCCTAAGCCGTAAACACGAAACCCTAACCTAAACACTAAACCCCAACCTTAAACCCTAAACCCTAACCCTAAAAAACTAAACCCTACACCCTCTAAGGCTTGGCAGCTTCGGGGATCGAGCCCTTCCAGCGGATGCCCTAGAATAAAGGAATGGGTCTAGGCGTGTTATTGATTCCTAGATTTTCAGGCTTTCGACTTTAGGTTACGTCATAGGGTGTAAGATGGTTTCTGGGCACAGGATATAGGATGATGTAGGGGTGGTCAGTTGGGAATTCTGGATTCTAGACTCCTAGATGATTGATATAGGGTTTGAGATGGTTTAACGGTTAAGGATTTAGGATGATTTACACATGACTAGGCCTCGGGGATCGGAGCAATATGAGAGCCAAGGAGACTGAGACAACCGTGCTTACAGATGAGGGTTAGGGTTCCCTCTAGTATTCGCACCATCCTAAGCCCCAACACCTGCAGACGCTTTGGCTTTGGACCCTTAATCGGGCAGCGTTTAAGGCTTGTTGGGTTCAAGGGTCTGATATCGCTTACAGGGACTCCTAATGCTACAACCCGAGAGACCTTTATTCCGTAAAGCCCTGCACCCCGAAGCTCGATGAAACCCTCTAAACACCTTACGGTTAGAGCGAGATTTTGTATGTAAACCTGAACTAAGAAGAACCCACCCCTTTTTAGCCCTTAGAAGCTCTAAGGCAAGTCCGAGGCAGAGGACCGAGCTCCCCACCAGTGAAGACCGCGGCGCCTCCCCAATTCTTGGGTCGTGAGGTTGGGCTCCCGAGACCCATAAACCCAAAGTAGATATAGATATAGATATAGATATAGATAGATAGATAGATAGATAGACAGATAGAGAGAGAGAGAGAGAGAAAGAGAAATACATACATACATATATATATATACATATCTATATCTGTGTTTGTATATATGCATTCTACATATTCGTATGCGAGTATAGAATTTAAAAGGGTCCTTCTAAGGGGGGTTCCATCAGCGTACCCCCTCTATTTTGCCGGGACCCCAAAATTCAAAGAATCGCCGGGTGACCAAAAAGTGCTGCAAACCCACTGCACAGTTGCCGTCAAAGCAGCCATGCAATGCCATGCAGGCTGTCACAATCCACGATCAAAGCGAGGCATCCCGACTTCTGCTCACTCAGTCGCAAACTCAATCGATGACTTTGTCCCGTATTCCGTTTGAAACTCTGGGCCTCTGTCTTTCTATCTCCAGGCGAAGACGAACAGCATGTGAAGACTGCTGAATAAGGTACCGGCTACGGGGCTATGGACCCGACCATTAACAAACGTTGTAACGCTTGCATGGAGTGAGAGCGAAACAAGGATTCCCTCACATCCCCGACTAGATGACCACCAAAGGCTCAACAAAAGTAGGGCTCCTCACGGGAGCATGAAAAGCCGAGTGTCTAGTCTGGAGACTGAACCCGAAGAAGCTACGCAATCGATTGGCCTTCCTAGTGGCAGCTTTCCGTTGCAGAGTTTTGGCTCTTGAGCCCCAGACGGCCAGTACAGGGGCCTTAATAGCCAGAATAGGGGTAGAACTACATTATTATAGACTACGGACTTCAGTTTATTGGAAAGACTGCACTACTTGTATGAAGACCCTAACTGCCCTAACTCTTGGAAGATCAAGCTCTACCAAGGGCGGCACGTCGCTGTGCGAAAGGCAAGGGCATCTCCCGGCAAGGCCATGAGGGCTCCGCGAGGCACTACGTACTCCAAAAAAACCCAGAGACCCAGTAAGCAAGGTTATAATGCTATAGGTATAGGTACAAGTATACTGCTTGCAGCGATACGGAGATACGGAGTCGTTTCTATGAGCACTTGACCTGATGGACACCCAAGCGTCCTTCCAGAGCCTCCGAACTCGCGGCATGCTTGCTTTCATTAAGTCTGCAAAAGCATTACATTCATTGCGCTCTGGCGGTGCTGATGGCTCTCCAGCAAAAGTCCGATGCAAGTCGGGATGGCGTGGAGCTCACTCGACTTTCCCGGTTCCCTAGCTCCATGATTGCATGGCAACTCTACAACCAAGACGGCTGTGGTGGCACTTTCTAGCTACCGAAACATCATAAGAGCAAATGACCCCCTTCACTTCAAATCATGTCCGGAGGTTCTGTCCTCGACAGCTTCTAGAAAGCATGGTCCTGCCCGCACATTTCGTCGGG